ATTTAAAAAAAACACAACAATCTATTGAGTAGTTCAAATGAGTAGTAGATACAATTGACAGCTGTCACATTTTTAAAAATACCACCATCCAATTTAATTACGAAATCGGTTAGGTTATTGCTTAGAATGTCAAGGAGGACACTTCGAACATTTATTGTAATTGTTTTCGTTATTTATTTTCTTATTTTCTTCATTTATGTATTGAATAGATCAAATTAGTAGAATACCAGGTGCACATGACCTACAAATAATTGAAGGTTGGTTCACAATGAATTGTGATGTCAGCGCGTGCCATCTGCCATGTGAAGTCAAGTTATCGTAAGTTTAAGAAAAATGTATCCTAAAGTTGTTATGGCCTCACATGGCATCTTTAAAAAATCTTACCGAGTGCTCTTCATCATAAAGGCTATAGAGTTGCTGTTCATAGTCACACAATTTGTGCGATTTGGGAATGTGAACCGCGCACACCTCATAGATTGATGTGTTTTTTTTAAAATCGAACATAGGGAAATTACATTGCATGCAAGCTCCTATGTTCGCATTTAAAAAAAATTCACTGTATACCTACCGCGGGACTGAAGTAGTACTTTTAATCCCGAAGGTAAAGTTTATGGCCCGACCGAAGGGAGGGCCATAATTTACCTGAGGGATTAAGACCACTACTTCAGTCCCAAGGTATATATGATATTTTTCGTACTGAAGCACTTAATATGTATGGATAGGAGTTAGAGAACGCGTTCTTTCAAAAAATCGCTGCTTAACAAGTTACCATAGGAACGTTTCGTTGGTACGACAATCCCTATGCTATGGTAACAAAAATAAATTGGAAACTGTCATTGCTAGTGCCATAATTTTGGTGGTGGGTGACAAAGGTGTATTTGATATTGATAAAAAGCAGCCAAACTAGGTAAAGAATTGATACCACCGAAATCCAAAAAACTATATGAGCAGCAGTACGATGCGTTGCCGCATACAAAATGTGGAACAACCTACCCAAATTGCCTTGTTAGTAATATCATCCTTCCGGGATTTTCGTCCAAATTTAATACCGGCGGGACAAAAAGTGACACTTCAGGACTTGTCATAATGAAGTGAAGTCACTTTAGTCTCGGAAGTACGAAAGCAATAATATGCCATTTTTCCGGCTATCGACTAAAAAAAGTGTTGTGTGGCGGATGTAACGATAAAATATTGTAACGTTATTTATAAATTCGGGTTCGATTTATATCAATATTTATTAAACAAAACTAAAACACTATAAAAACCGTACAATTTATATCGATTATTTATATCACACACACTTCGCAATTTATATTTCCGCGCACGATGTTTCGTCCGTACTCGTTCGGTAGTAGACTGCCGCGATGTTCGGTCCGCAACCATTTATACACGCAAGCAATGTAAGTCCAGTACATTCTCGAATACGCGTAGAACATTCCAGAGAATTCTGGAGCATTTCCGTTACACTGCCCCCTTCTTAATTCTGGACGTCTCGTTCAGAAACTGCGTTAGTATTACTTTTTAATGCCTCGTGTCGGAATCTGCAGTCAGAGCCTGCTCGACAAACACCTTTCTTGAAAAAGTAACAGTCCACAGTTGTGCGGAGGGTCGTCCCCTGTGGGTTGAAGCAGCATACTGTAATTCGAACGCTAGTGTTTCTAAAAATCACTTCGATCATGGTTCGCACTATCTTCCAGTCCAACCCATCTAAACCACATCCAATCTTCGGCATCGCCAAGCTATTTATGTCATAGTATGCCATGAGTTTCTTCAAGTTTTTTAAAGCAGACCAGAGGTTTTCATAGGTGGGTTTGCCTTCTGACGTTTTCTTTGAAACCAAGTAGAACAAAGAGCGTTGACTATCTTCCAAGCGCAGTACTTTACCCACTCGTGGTCTTTGCTTTATCAACTCGTCTATTCTTCCAAATCTTTTCCGGAATACGGAAGCTATACCTCTACCCATGCGAAGGTCTTCGGCGACACAATGGGCGATGGAAACGTTAACCGGAAGCTCAAAAATATTTTGACAAATTTCCTGAGTAACGCCAAATCGAGCTTTCTTCCGCTGGGCGTAATTTGACATAAAATAGTTAAAGCTGCGTTCCTCTTCTCGAATACCTCTAACTTCTTCGTTGTTGTTGGATCCGGCATATCGTGCGAGTCGATTAATGTGGACAACTTTCGGTTTCCGGTGTTCATTCTGATACGATATATCACGTCATTTATTTTCTTGATCACCTCATACGGACCTTCCCATTGTCTTTGTAGCTTGGGAGAAAGACCTCTTCGCCTCTGTGGATTGTGCAGCCATACCAGATCTCCAGCTTCAAAAGTTTCATTGGCCGAGCGGAGGTTGTATTGATTTTTCATGCGATCGCTGGCAATCTGAATATGACTTCTAGCCAAGTCGTGAATGTCATTCATCTTCGCCTTTAGTTGGTCAACATAATTTTCACCTGCGACATATTCTTCATGGGTTTACGCCCAAACTCGAGGTCACATGGAAGGCGTAGTTCACGACCCAACATAAGGCAGGCAGGAGTCTGACCCGTGGTCTCGTTGACGGCTGATCGATATGCCATAAGGAACAGGTGGAGGTACTGGTCCCAATTTTTCTGATGTTCTGCCACGACTTTTGAAAGATATTTACCCATCGTTCGATTCATTCTCTCAACCATTCCATCTGACTGAGGATGCAAAGGTGTTGTTCTTGTTTTATTGGCTCCTACCAATCGACAAACATCTTGGAACAAAGCCGATTCAAAGTTCCTTCCTTGATCTGAATGGATTTCTATAGGAACACCAAAACGTGTAAAGAACTCCTTTACCAACACTTCTGCAACTGTTGCTGCCTCTTGGTTTGGAATGGCGTAAGCTTCAGTCCACTTTGTGAAATAATCCATAGCGACTAGGATATATTTATTTCCGCCATCTGTCTCGGGAAACGGTCCTGCGATATCGATAGCAACTCGTTCCATCGGACTACCAACGTTATACTGCCTCATGGGTGCCTTCTTCTTGGAAACTGGTCCGTTTCCAGTAGCACATAACTCACATTTTTGACACCATCGCCGGACATCTTCTTTACGGTTGACCCAATAGAATCGCTCACGTACCCTTTGCAACGTTTTCGTAATACCAAAGTGTCCTCCGGAAGCGCCGTCATGCAATTTTCGCAATACTTCCGACACTTTGCTTCTAGGTACTACTAATTGCAGCGTCGATTCGGTGCCATCTTCACTTTCAAGGGTCCTATACAACAGGTTGTCTTTCAGAGTCAGGCTATTCCATTGGCCCAATAACTCTTTACTTCAGGACTTGTGGCACTAATGTCTTGCCAGTCTGGTCTTTGTCCGTGGCGCATCCAATTCAGAACAGTTCTTAAACTTGGGTCGTTTTCTTGGGCCGTTTTGATTTCGCTTGGCTTCCATTCCTCACTCTCTACAGTTGTTCGCCGCAGATGGCCCATCTTGTTTTCTTATTTTAAGCAAACTAGATCGGATTGGAGCTCGCGTCGCTCGCTCCTACCGATCACGGCGTTTTGTTATCACACGCCGTTTTTTGTGGTTTTCCGTTTGTAAATTTTTTTTTTAACTCGATCGTTGTGCGATTTTGTAGTTTGGGTTGTTTTTAATTGACGTCGGAATTTTTTAAAATGCGAAAAAGAAAGGAAAAGGATTTTGATTCGGCTCAAAAAAGCACCAATATATTGATTTTTTTTTTAATCAAACTCGGCGTATGTGTTTGTAAAAATGCGTAGCATTTTAAGACTTCGCTAGAGTGAGTATATTTTGCAGAGATATCGCCAAAAAGGAGGATACGTTTTTTGGAACATCACCTATACAAAGTAAATTTTTTAAAATTTCGATTCAACTTGTAAAATCCAGATCCGCACATAATTGTACATAAGATTATTTAATTTTGATAACACTTTTTGGTTTTGAGGAGACATCCGCTCGGCTCCGGCGGCTTTGCCGCCTCGCCTCACTCTGATTCGTAACGGTGCATAGCTCGGCTTCGCCTCGCACTGTTCAGTGCTCAACAAAGATAATTTCTCAGTTTCAATTTTGGTGCGGTAAGAAAATGCCGAAACTAATGTCAGCGAATCAGTATTTTGTTATAGAACTACGTTTTCGCAAGGATCTCCGTTTTTTTATTAAGTTTAGATGAATGACGGGAAAGGTGGGCGCGTGTAGGGCCGTAAGTAAGCGTCGTTTGCCGCCGCGAACGGGGAAAGCCGGGTCTACGGGAGAGCCCTCGTGAAGCTCAACTCGCCTTCGGCTCGTTCGACATTGATGGAGGAAAAATGCGAGCCGTTTTCGTCGCGAGAACGGCGAGCTCGAGTTATGCCGAGTCGAGAATCTTTGTTTGAATTTGTAAAAAAGTTAAAAAAAAATTCCTAAATCTACAAATAACCTAATGCCCCAAGCTAAGGGAGGGCCAAAGTGATGCCGAACTCGCCTTCGGCTCGCTCGGCATTGGTATACGAGGCGCGTGTGTTAAGAATCGAAGTCTTCGGTTACTTTACTTAGTTGGGGAAGGGTTATTAAGAATTTTTATTTCTAATAAAGTTAAAAAAAATATCTTAAACTTACAAATAACCTAATGTGCAAAGCTGCTTGGTGTCACATTTTGTTTAGCTTCATTTATAATTGTTGTTTGAATTTGTATTACGAAAAAAGTTTAAAAAAATTTCTTCAACATACAAATAACCTAATGTCCAACGCAGATTGATGTCACATTCGATTTAGCTTCATTTATAATTTTTGTTTGAATTTGTCTTTCAAAAAAGTTAAACAAAATTTTTAAAAATCTTCAAATAACCTAACGTCCCAAGCTGTTTGATGCCACACCTTTCATTTTCAGTTTTTTAAAGAAGTCTATATAAAATATGTAGGTATAAAAAACCTCGCATTGTTCAGTGTTCAACAACGACAATTTCTCAGTTTCAGTTTTGGCGTGGTAAGAACATGCTACTAAGCAGACTGATTTGATAATTTTTTTGAATTTGTGAGTAATATTTTTGTTTTTTTTTTGTGGAAACAACACCTATACAAAGTGATTTTTCTACTCAGCCTGTTTGTACACTCGGGGTTGTTTTAGCCTCCTGTAGAACAGGTTCATCCTCATCGGGAGAATTTTCTTTACGATTTCTCCACGTACAGAGTTTACATGCTATAATAGAAATCCATGAAAATAATTGGATCATTTTGAGTGGTCGTGAGGAGTTTGTGTAGTATTCCTTATTTTATTTGTTGTTTATGAATGTATTAGGCATGGAAATATGATGATTTTTAAAATTGTTCACGATATCTAACACAATCCTTATAATATGTACAGGAAAGCATAAAAATTTTAAGACAAAGAAGTTTTTACAATTTTGTTGGAACCTATAGTGTTTCGTAGGTAGTAATTCACGTGCCTTTCCATAGGAGATTCTTTACAAATGGACTTCATCCTCAAGCAAGTATTGGATAACTTAAGGTGCTGTATATTACAGTATCGTGTCCTTCAATGGTAATAAGTATATTTGAAGTAGGTACGAGCTTTTATACCTTTTTATAATGATATCGTAGTTCGCTGTTTGGACCAAGTGGTAATAGGTGGTCGCTTTAATACTAGTAGACTATGTGGACATGTAGAAATAAAAGTGGAAGGTAACGAACTAAAACTAATCCTTCGCTACCTTCCTAAGCATGAATATTTCATGTGACGAAATGCTTTCGTTTCCGCTAGAATCTTGGACATACTTTTTGCTCTAACCGGAATATAAACTGATGAATAACCTCCTATAGGACTTCTTCTTGAAGAACACGGATAATTTGTTACATCAATAATAAATTTTCATACCATTTCTATCGTAAATGTCTTTATGCTACGTAGCAACATGCACATCGGCATGAATTTTTGGTCGACATCAAGTCGATTACTCGAAATTGTGCAAATGTAGGTTTGTTTACGATGACATTTTCATAACAACGATAAAACACGTTAAATTTCCTTAAAAATGGTGTTTTTTACATAAAATAGTAATGTCCCAGATTTTTTGACAGTTCCCGTGACAGTTGTATAGATGGCGCCATTTGAAAAAAATACATCTTCTGTATCGGCGCATGCCCAATATAACCGTTCAAATAATACCACATTTCAACCGCGTAGGTTCATTTGAACGTTGCGGCGGTTCCTATTTTCTTAGGAAGTAGTGCTTTTTTGCGCAACTTCCATTGGGGAGTATTCCCTGACGTGTACCACGGCGTACTGCGTTGAGGGGTGTACACGTAGTGTATAATACTTCCCTAACAACAACATAGTTCCCTTTCAGCTCATTTTTCGGATAGGGTGTTTTGTTTAGGTCATTTCCGCTGATAGTTCCGCTTTCTCCGCTCGTTCGAGGAAAGATAGTGTTTGGATGTTAGTTAGTTAGCTTAGGTTAGGGGGCTAATAAACCAATAAACCGAATGCTCCATTCTAAAAAACAGTTTTCATCAATCTGACAATAGAATCACATTTATACATACCTAGTCTAAGAATTTTAGCATTACGGGGGAACTCAGAGCCGCCCCCTTCAACTTCTTCGGTGGCCCCATACCGATGTCGAACTGAAGGTAACCTGAAATCCTATTAACAAAAGATTTTTTAATTTCATTGTTGCTAGGAATTTGTCACTTTACAAGATAAATTAAACGATAAAAGAGGGTAAAATGATCCCACGAAGATCCCAATTCCACGAGGTGGAAGAATGTCTTCGAAATCTAAAAAAATACGTGCGCCATAACTTGATCGTTTACCATAATTCACTTACCAATAAAATAAACAATTAAAAACAATATAAATGGACCGATGAACGTAAATGAAAAATTTACTAAACTTCACCCAAGACGAAACGTGATCGCAATGGAACCTGGAAATAACGTGGCGCCACCGTCGTAGAATGAACTACATTCGCGACGGGGATCTAAATATCGACGTGACTCCCTAATTTTTATTAAATATAACCTCTCGGCACGGGATTAATGCGATTTCGATTTTCTTCGGAGAGGTCAATTTAAATAGAGTACTAATTATGCTAAATTTTTCCCATTGTAAGTATATAACTACGAATTATAGTTTAAAAATTATAAAAGAAAATTGGCACAGACGAACTAACGTATTTTTTACAAAAAAATTTCCAGAACCTTTATTTTTCAATCGATTCGGACGGTGAAAGGTGCATCTGATAGCTAATAATTCGAGCTAAATATTCTCCATTGAACGTACCCGTCTGGCAAGTCTTAAAAAAATTATTATAGAGTATATAGTTCAATGATTTATATAAAACATGACAGTACTATGAAGTTAGGTTATAAAAAATTACTGATATTCAGTTTTTATTTGATCAAAATGGCGGATAGCCGGTTACATTCTGTGGTGCTATACAGTGCGAACAGTGCTTTACTATGCCGCTTCAATAAATAATGACGTTAGTAAATATTTGCCGCAATAGGCGCGGGGCACCAATACTAATTTATAACCTTAAACTTCAAAACAAATTAAACATTTGACATATGATTATATTTAACCCAAATAAAGATTTAATCACCTTGTAAGTTTCCAAATGATGTGAAATTATACGAATAGGAAATTGCTACAACAATTGAAACAATTTTATTTCTTTTACAAATCGTTAATATTGAAGTAATTGGATAAATCACATGTTATAAACAACTGTTCGAAGATCTCGTCACCATAATTAAGACAGGGGTCCACTCTTTTCTTTGTTTTCGAAGCCGGCATGTAAGTGCCGTTGCATAATGCTTCAAACGGTAGCTTCTATATCTGCTCGTAATTCGGCAATGGTGTGTAAACGGTTTCGAATACGTTGACATCTAGTAAATTTGCATGCAATATTTTAGGACTTTGCAAGTCCAGACGATGAGTTCTTGTAACACGGTTACTTTAAAGGATAGAAGTACAATTTTCTCCAGGCAATAGTGTCACACGTTCCGTATGAGATATCCGTTAGTGGGACAAATTATCGCAGTTGCTTTTTTCAACTTTGTTCAAGACGAGCAAGAATATCTTTTACAAAGGCCTTATTAGCAATCACTAAGGGGCCAGGTGACTTCCCAGAAGCAAGACTTCCTGTATGCGAAGCCGTTCAAGTAAACGACGAGCATTTCGGCGTATATTGTTGTAATCCTCGTCACGGTTGACATCCGTTTATCGAAACTCCTGTATACACAAACGTATCGAGTACTCTCAAACTTCACTTACGTCTTTAGTTCCATTACGGAAACAGAACTGCAAACGCATCTTATTCTCTTCTAAGAAGTAAAAGGCTTGTCGAAGTAAACCTATTGCCTATTACACGCTACAACTAAAAAAACCGTTTGTTTGTAATTTACAAGTAATTTACCCACCTTGTAAATATTCGAAAGAAACTGGTAGTCTTGAAAAAAGCCGTGTTGAAAGGAATGATAGTAATAAGAATCACAAATTATAGTTTGTGAAATTATAGGTTATATTTTGTATTGGAACACATATACCTGGTTACGGCAAATGCCCAAAAAAAATTCTAGTAACTTTAATGTTGGGGATTGTATCACCTGTTTAGAGATGTGATTATATTTATATAAAACATGACAGTACTATGAAGTTAGGTTATAAAAAATTACTGATATTCGGTTTTTATTTTTAAATTTTTTTAAATTGGCAGCAAATTTTCACCAAAATGGCGGATGATTGTGTTACTTTCTATATCTAGTGACTTTAGTATATAGGTGCACATACACGATACCTGGTTGCGGCAAATAATTACTATTGTCATATTTTATAAGAGCGGTGCAGCATATATTGATCTCTCAGTATGCGCACGTGTGTAAATATACGAGATATCGCGTTTTAAGTGTTTTCAATGGTGTCAAATT